TAAATAAATGTTAAAATTCTCTCTCTCTCTCTCTGTCCCCCCCCTCACTCTCTCTTAAAAAAAAAAATAAGGTCATATCAGATTAGCATGGGCACTAAATCCAATCCCTGATGTCCTTATATGAAGGCCATGCCAAGGCAGAGGTGGAGATTGGAGTTGTGTACCTACAGGAAAGGGAAGTCTAGGATTGCCTGACAGCCATCCAGAGCTGGAAGTTGCAAGAAAGGGTTTTCTGTTAGAGCCTGCAGGGAGCACAGCCCTGCTACCTTCTTGATTTTGAACTGTGGCCTCTAGAACTGTGAGAGAATGGATTTTTGTTGTTTTAAGCCCCCAGGCATGCAGTAATTTGTTATGGCAGCCACAAGAAACTAATATGCCCCCTCATGGGAGTATCAAAATTATTAAATATGAGACTTGTCAAGTGCTTATCATAACACCAGGCACATTGCCCAAGGCTTTTCAAGAAATTATTATTCTCATCTCAGGTACCATTCACAGCTGCCCACAACCATAACACAGAGCACATCCAGGCACACAGTTCTCTGAGGCCTCATTTGGCTTACATGGCAGGCACCTAGCTCATCCATCTTACCAGAAAGACTGGGCTGGGCAGAATGTGAGTTTGAATGCCAAGTTGACTGCTGACTTGCTGGTTGACTTGACTAAAGTCAGTTTCCCTTTTTAGAAGATTTGTTGTATCAACTACAAGGTCATGATATTAATAGAAATGGTGCCCTCCTCCTTGGTTGCTGGGAGGACTTGACAAGGGAATGCAGGTGATAGTGTTTGATACCATGATTACCAGAGAACTTGGAAGTAGAAGGGATCTTAGAGATAGTCCAGTCTAACCAACTCATTTTCCAGAAGAGAAAAACAAGGTACAGAGAAGAACAGTGACTTGCTCAAGCTACAAAGTGATTCCTAACCTTTATCCCCACCCCAACAACATCTGTGTGAGGGACTTGAAGTGCCCCAGCTCTTGAATGCTGGGCAGCACAAATCCATCCCCCAATGCAGCTCTCCCAAGGTGCAGAGAAGCAGCTCCCTGAGAGACTGAGTTTTCAGCAGCCAAGTGAAGAACACATTTCAGGAAGTAGAGAGGGCTCAATTGTGCCATGGCCACAGAAAGATTAAGAAACAGAAGGACTGAGAATGGAGGATGGCAGGAGCCAGCGACAGTTTTCTATTGTAAGGGTCCAGCGAAGCGTCGGAGGAAGACACCACACAAGAGACTGGCTTCATGCAATTGGCAGGAGGGAGTTTATTGAACCAGCATGCTGGGGCTCAAGGCTCACTCAGGAAGGGAGAGCAGCCCAGAGCCCAGAGCAGAGGTCAAGCAGAGCTTAAGTACACTTTTTGGGGAGGGTGGGGGGCTTTGCATACATCAGAACAAGTCATCATGAGGCGCGGGAAAATTGAACAACAACTCTGAGACATGATTAGTACATTCATTGGCGGGAACAGGCTGGACAGGGGTGATTGGTCACTTCTAAGCGGGATACACATTCAAACTGATTGGTTTTAGGGCCTGGATGCCTACGTGACATACTACACAGAGTCCCAGGTTATTAGACAACCAGTGGAAACAGTGGAAATATTTACTGGGTAGTTCCAGTATTGTCCTAACAGCTACAGGGATTACAGGTTCTGGGGGTAGCAGAGGAATTTTAACAATACCTAGTCTTTCACTTTTTAACTCAAGCCCTGCAGCTTGGAAACTTTACAATGCCCGGTCTTTTACACTTTAACTCAGGCTTTGCAGTTTAGAATCAGCTTAGAAATTTTACCCTTACACTATACCCAGCCAAATAGTGCAGAGTTGGCTTTATGGACCATAGAAAAGCAGTAATAGATGATGGTACACAAACAAATGGGTGTGGCTATGTGCCAATAAAACTTTATGGACACTGAAATTGCATGCTACATCATATTTGTGTGTCACAACATATTCTCATTTACAATTTTTCTCAACTATTCTTTGAATAGTTTGAAGGCCATGTGAAAACAGGGTACAGGACTTGACTCACTAGCCTTAGTTTGCCCCGCCATGGTCTCAGGCCAAGTACATTGAAAACTCAGGAAGTACAACCCTGAAAGGGGTGATTTTAATAGCTTCCTTGATACCAAGTGGCTCATGTATATAAACAAGATAAATGAAAAGATGTGTCCACACACACACATACACACACAAAGCAAAAAACTAGGGCTGGGCTGGGGATGTGGCTCAAGCAGTAGCACGTTCACCTGGCATGCGTGCGGCCCGGGTTCGATCCTCAGCACCACATACAAACAAAGATGTTGTGTCTGCCGAGAACTAAAAAAAAAAAAATAAATATTAAAAATTCTCTCTCGGGGATGTGGCTCAGTGGTAGAGCGCTTGCCTTGCATACGTGAGGCACTGGGTTCGATCCTCAGCCCCACATAAAAATAAATAAGTGAAATAAAGGCATGCTATCCATTAAAAAAAAAATTCTCTCTCTCTCCTCTCTCACTCTCTCTTAAAAAAAAAAAACTAGGGCTGAGGCTGTAGCTCAGTGGAAGAACACTTGCCTAGCATTCAATGGGTTCAATCCTCAGCACCACATAAAAATATATACAAATAAAATGAAGCTATTGTGTCCATCTACAACTACAAAAAATAAAAAAGCAAAACCTAAAAAAAACCAAAAAACTTATATACATGGATGTTCCTAGGAGCATCATTCACAATAGCCCCAAATTGGAAACAACCCAAATGCCCTTCTACTGATGAATGGATAAGTAAAATATAGCATATTATACAAGCAAATACTTCAGCCATAAAAAGAAATGAAATTCAGATACATGGAATGGTGTGGTAGATGAGATTTGAGAGGGTCCTCAAAGGTTCTTGTACAGGAAGCTTGGTTCCCAGTGCAGCAATGGTGGGAGGTGTTAGAACTTTTAAGAGGTGGAACTTAGTGCAACTTAGTGATTAAGTCATTAGGGCACTTCTCTTGGAAGAGAATAATATAGGTCTCATGGGACCCTAGGTAGTTTCCATGGCAGTGGATTGTTATAAAAGAGCGAGACTGACCCCTGAATCTGTCTCACCATGTGATCTCTGCCATATGTGTTTCTGCCATTGTGATGCCAGCAGCCATAAGGTCCTCACCAGTAATTGAAATGATGAGGACAACTAGTCTTGGACTTTTAACCTCCAATACTGTGAGCTAAATGAACTTATTTTCTTTATAAATTATCTAGTCTTAGATATTTTGTCCTAGCGATGGAAACAAATAGGTGGTAGAGCATGAATGAGCCTCAAAACCTTGCTCACTGAAAATAGCCACACACAGTAAGGCCACATGGTATATGATTCATTTTTATATGAAATATTTAGAATTAGGCAACTCAGACAGAAAGGTGATCAGTGGCTGCCAGAGGCTGGTGGAGGGGGAAAGAGGAATGCCTAGTGAGCAGAGGGTTTTGTTTTGGGGTGATGAAAATGTTCTGGAAGTAGAGGTGATAGTTGCACATCACTTTTTAAAAATATTTATTTTTTAGTTGTACACAATACCTTTATTCTGTTTATTTATTTTTATGTGGAGCTGAAGATCGAACCCGGGGCCTCGTATGTGCTAGGCGAGTGCTGTACTGCTGAGCCACAATCCCAGCCTCTGCACATCACTTTTAAAGTGTTAATTTTTCATGTGAATGTTACCTCAATGTAAAAACACAATTTCACTGATGATTCGATCATGCTGGTAGGGTTGAGAAATGGGGCCAATGGAAAGAGCAAATTTCCAAGCAAGTTGAACCTGAAGCTGAACTCACAGTTGGGTGTTAAGGTAGAATCGAACAAAGAATTCCATCTTTTCCTGGGCTGGCAGTTTACAGTATGTTCTAGTACAGCCTGAGGAATAGACTGAAACCACCAGTTAAAGGCAAGGCAAAAAGTCCCTCCAGACAGGTGAAATGGCAGGGTAAGGAAGAGATGGGACTGGGCAGAGGGAAGCTGTAGGTGAGGAAAGAGCTGGGGAGTTGCACAGGAAGGAGGGACTGCATCCAATCATATAGGACTTTGCAGACCACAGACAAGAATTCAGTTTTCATCTGAGTCAGATGGAGAGCCACCCCTCTACCTGAGATTGATAAGGTTTGAGCAAGGGAATGACATGATCCCAATGAAAGGGTAAAGTTTCTAAGCTGCAAAGCCTGAATTAAAATGTAAAAGACTAGGTATTATTAAGTTCCTCTGCTACACCCAGAACCTGAAATTCCTGAGATAGTTAAGACAAAGCCCTACTGGCCATTTAGCCTAGGGCCCTGTGCAGTTTGTCACAGGGCCTGAACCAATCAGTTTGAATGTATACCCTGCTTAGGAGTGACCAATCACCTCCGCGTGACCTGTTCCTGCCAATGAATGTGCTAATCATGTCTCAGAGTTGTTGTTCAATTTTCCCCGGGCCTCATGATGATTTGTTCTGATGTATGCAAAGCACCCCCTCCCCCACCCTCCCCCAAAAGTGTACTTAAGCTCTGCTTGACCTCTGCTCTGGGCTCTGGGCTGCTCTCCCTTCCTGAGTGAGCCTTGAGCCTCAGCGCGCTGAATTAGGATCCTCTTCAATAAACTCCCTCCTGCTCATTGCATGAAGCTGATCTCTTGTGGTCTCTTCCTCTGACGTTTTGCCGGACCCTTACACCAGCTCCTTTTTAAAATTTTATATTCTAATTTGTTATATATGACAGCAGAATGCATTACAATTCATATTACACATATACACAATTTTTCTTTTTTATTTTTTTAGTATCTTTGTTTATTTATTTTTATGTGGTGCTGAGGATTGCCATGGCCTTGCACATGCTAAGCGAGCACTCTACCACTGAGCCACAATCCCAGCCCACATAGACACAATTTTTCATATCTCTGGTTGTGTAATTCATATTACACCATTCATATTACACATATACACTTTTTTTTCATTTCTTACCCTTTATTTTCAAGTGCACAGGATAACATTTCTGATATATGCATCCCACTAGGCAGGCAGCCAACAGCGACACGGACTGGAGGGCAGGTAATAGACAAACCGGTTGCCACATCTATGGCAGGGTTTAGTATGGAAAAGGAAGTCCTTTGGCTCTCTCACATCCCTCAGTATCTCCATCAGCTCATCATAGAGTTGGAGAAATCTCCCTGGGTGGATGGCACCCTGGGCATCATAGCTCTCCAGAGGGGCAGGGTACTTCTCTAGGCTCAACTGGCTCAGCCTGGAAGTGTGAAGCAGCAGGTTGCTCAGGACCGACATGGAGATGTCATTCCCATGGAAGCTCAAGACCCTGAGCTGGGAGCAGCAGCTCAGGGCAGGTAGGATGGCCTGGAGCTGGGAGTTGGTGATCCCACAGTCCTGTGAGTTTAGAGTCTCAAGGGTGGCTGCAGCATTCTCTAGCCGAATTATGAGGGGCTCAGGACTGAAACTGGTCAATTTGATGCCCCACAGCGTCAGGTGTATTCGCTGATCAAGGTTTGGATACATAGACATATTATTCCAGTCTGGATCTGAAAGCTGGCAGTTGGTTATTGAGAGGGTTTCCAGGAGGGATCTTCAGGAGCCTGAGCATATGGCACAGATGACCGTCTAGGCAGAAGATACCATCCAGGTACAGCCTCTGGAGGCTGTCCATCTTTGCAAACTGTGAGGTAATATCATCCATCAACTGATCTTTCTCCTCCTGGGAAGCATAGGCAGACACCTAGACGTGGGAGAAAAAGAGCTTCCTCAGGTTGCTCATCTGGCCCCAATAGGTAGCAAAAGTAGACAAGGTGGACAGTCTCCAGGAACACTGCACTTCCACTTGCTGGATAAAGTCCAGACCCAACCTCTCCAAGATCCTCTTGATGCTATGGACGGGCAAAAGGCACATCTGCAGCTTCTTACAGCACAGCTGTAGCAGACCCTTCCTCTCAACTACTCACTGAAAGAGGAAGGAGAGGAATGCATTCAGGGGTCTTTGCTGAAAGCACAGGCTTACCCTCAAGGGCAGAGTGGGCCCTGTCTCTGGAGGGGCTGTCACTGTTTGCCTCTCCTTCATGTCCTCTGGTGAGCAGGCATTGACCACAGCTCCAGACCACATCCTCCAGAAGTTCCCATGAACCTTCCGCAAATCCAGCACCTGCAGTTTCCACCTCCTGCAAGGAAAACAGCAGAGTCTCAGCGCTGAGGCCCTTTCCTTCACCTCTCAGCTGCTGCTCCCCACTCCACTTATTTATTCTGTCTCACTTTTCTCTACTCCTTTACCCTCCAATCCAGCCTGGTGCCTCCACTTGTACCAGCCAAGGGAGGGGCAGGCAAAACCTCCTTCAAGGGTCAGGGTAGATGCCACAAGCACCTCCACATCTGGAAGCCCCTCCCAGATGGGGCTCAGCATGGCCAAGGCCTCTCCACCCCTCCTTGCTGGCAGCACAGGAAGCCTGTGGAGCACACTTCAGCACCCACTCTCCCTGCCTATACCCATCCCTTCCCTAGATGCCCAGGGCGCTCCCTTCCAGGGTCCCCCTCACCTGGGGCGATCCTGCTGGGCAGCCAGCATGTCCAGCCCATCCAGTGCAATTTGGATCATCTCCAGCTGTGGCTTCCTCATCAGGGCCCCCAGGGGCAGGCGGATGAAGGGCCAGGCCTGCACCATTTTCTTTAGGACCTCAGTGTGTCCACTGCTGAAGGCCTCCACAAAGAGTGGTGGGAAGAGCTCTATAGGCAGGTCCTCCAGATCCAGGAGGGCTCTGGACTTGTCCTTCAGGAGGCTGTGCCCTGCCAGCTCCTGGAGTGTGTTTGTGTGTGTGTGTGTCGGGGGGTGGGGGCTTCTCATCCTCATGAGTCTGCATGGAAAGGATCCAGAGATGGACGATTGGCAGGTAGTTCAGAATCCTAGCAGTGTCAGACAGTGACACAGGGCTCCAGGTTTCTAGCTTCTTTGGCTCCTTGAAGCTTTTATTGATCTTTCTAATCCCACCTCCTCTTTTCAACTCCTAGTTCCAATCAGTGTTACCTGTATACACAATTTTTCATATCTCTTGTTGTATATAAAGTAGGGTCACACTATTCATATCTTCATACATGTACTTGAGGTAATGATGTTTGTCAGGTCGGTGGTGGTGACTTAGAACAATGCAGCCTGCATGGGAAAGAAACATCAATCAGGCACCTATGGAAACGCCTGTCAATCAGCGGGATCTCCTGACCAACACCTGTCAATCAGCAGGCACCCTGGCTGATCCTGGAGTTCAGCCAGTTCTCCCAACCAACTCCAGCGGGACAAGGGACTCTAAAAATAATTTTTCCTGTCCCAAGCCCTTCCCTCCTGCCTTAGCCCCATAAAATCCCAGTCCGGTCAAGCTCCCATGTGGTTTCTCCTCATGACCTTCTCCTGTCCACTCTGTCAGTCTGATAAGTTCCACCCAGGAATGATATCTCAAATAAAGCCTCATTCAGTGGGCTTTTTAAATCTGCCTCCTTTGGTCGCTGCCCACCTTGCCTGATCTTACAAGGTCCATCTCATTCTATAGTCTTTCCTACCCCCATGCCCCCTCCTTCCCCTCCCACTCCTCTGCCCTATCTAGAGTTCATCTATTCCTCCCATGCCCCCCCAACCCCATTATGAATCATCTTCCTTATATCAGATAAAACATTCAGCATTTAGTTTTGGGGGGTTGGCTAACTTCACTTAGCATTATATTCTCCAGCTCCATCCATATACCTGCAAATGCCATGATTTTATTCTCTTTTAATGCTGAGTAATATTCCATTGTGTATATATCACATTTTCTTTATCCATTCATCTACTGAAGGACATCTAGGTTGGTTCCACAGTTTAGCTCTTGTGACTTGTGCTGCTATAAACATTGATGTGGCTGTGTCTCTGTAGTATGCTGTTTTTAAGTCCTTTGGGTATAGACCAAGGAGTGGGATAGCTGGATCCCAGATCCTTTTAAAGGGACACCCTCTAGCTGCTGGGAAGAAAATGGGCTGAAGGAGGCACCCAGAAGCTTTCCAAGGCAGGGATGGGGCACACATGAAAGAATGGATGGAGAGGGTTGAAGGCTGCCTCCTGGGTCTAGGGGAGGAGCAGAGTGATTTGGGGGAAAGGGGGGACAGTTGTGTTTTAGACATTGCAGTGTCTCTAAAAAGTCACTTTTGAATAAAGTGTTATCACTATTAGTTGAATGTTGTATTCCACATTGGTGTTCTGTAACTTTTTCTGGGAAATTTCTCAGGCTGCTTAATGACTAGAATGCAACGTAAAGAGAGCAAATGTTGGTTTGTGTGGTTTAAAGTCTCTCAAGTGCTTGAGGGAGACTTCACTGGGTAAGCTAAATAAAGTCCTACTCCACATTTGGGAGGCAAATGTTAAGTCCTGTTCCTATGGAGGTCAGGATTCAGAGTAGAAAATGCTGTCTGGGAAATATTACAGAGACATAATTTATTTCTTGCCAAGTGCTTATGCAAATTCCATATGAACTCAACTGAGAATTAAAAAGAAATATACAGAACAGTCTGTGCATTAGAAAAACACGCAGGTATGAGGTTGTGCCCTGCATGACTCCACACGCAGACCTCCTGAAGATACTAGCTGTTCTGCATAGAGATTTCAAAAGAAGAGGGCTGTTTCCCATAATAATGAGCCTTGAAATGAAATTGTGACCCTGTTGCACCTCCTACTGTTTCTTCTGGTCTGTTGTCACAGTGGCCAGCACTGCATTGATCACCACCATGTTGTCCTTGGGGTGTTAAGCCCTTCAAATCCCAAATGGGAATCCTTACAGGGATTCAGGATGAGATGACACTGTCATGAGTATCTAAAAAGGAAAAAAAAAGGAGATGATTCTGATCTCTGCATAAAGGGCCCCTTTCTTGGGATAAGTGACTCTGCAGCATAAAAGACAGGAGCGACAAGGGGCAGGGGATTCTGCAGAAAACTGGAGAGGGAAGTCAGCGCACTGAGAGTGAAGCTGCTGCTCCTGCCCAGCCAATCTTGGCTGTGTCTCTAACTCCCTTTCCCATGCTGGCTTGCACCTCTCCTGAGAAGGGTTGTAGGATTCTTGGGACTCTTTCTCCCCACTTCCCAGCTTTTCACTCTTGGATGGTTCCTGTTACTTAGAGCAGCATTTTCTAAGGCAGATTCTTATTTCTATACAACAAAAGTCTTGAAGTTCCTTGGAGAAACAGAACCATGAAATGCCAATATTCTGATCTTGTCACCCTGTAGTGCTACCCCATCCCACTTAAAACATATAGAGGTTGACATTGGCTCCTAGGAGAGTCTAAATTTACCCTGGTCTACAAGCACTGCATGACCAGGTTGTAGGCAACTCAAATTCCATATGGCCACTCATTTCTGGGCTATCACCTCAGTGTTTGTACCACAACAACCCCCATCTGACCAGGAAACTGTTTCCTTTCCTCTAAATTGTCTGTACCCTGATTCTCCCACTGGAAAAAGGTCTGCCCCAGAGTCCCAACAGCTCCCAGTGCTTCTGTCTCTAACTGCCTGAATCACATGTACTTCTAATTGCCTGTCTTCTATGTCCATTCCTATAGGGAACCGCCAGAGTCGCTGGACTTCTTGGAGTCTTCCCAGTCCTGAGAACAGGGTCAGGCCATACATCGAGGCCCTTCCTTCTGTCTATCACTTCCTTCCTTCTATCACTACCTCCACCCCATCCACTCCCTGAATACAGACTCGTGGCCCCATCCCCTGTGTACCACTTGCTTTCCCCCACCCCCACATGCTGCTTAAAACCCTTATGTAGTTTTCCTCTGTTCTCAAGTTCAAATCTTTGCTCATTAGCATGGCATTAAAGTCTCTAGCTGACTTTGCCATGCTACAAAGAGAGGAGACATTAAGAATGCGGTGGAACTGGGCAGAGACATCTGTATTCCCAGGAACTCAAGAGGCTGAGGCAGAGTGTCACAAGTTCAAGGCCAGCCTCAGCAATTTAGCCAGAGCCTGCCTCAAAGTAAAAATAAAATAGGCTGGGGATGGAGCTCAGTGGTTAAGCACCCCTGGGTTCAATCCCCAGGACAAGAGGCAGGGAGAGGACACCCTGGGGAGTGGCAGAAAAGCCTGAAACAATTTCCTTACAACTTGAAAAATATGTGAGGCTTCTACTGACATATGGAGTATCTTCCAAAAATTCCTGTATATCAAGGCTCTGAGTAGGCTGAATATTTTTAGCATAGCTGGTGGTTCCCAGCTTTGTGAATTTCGCCAAGTAAATTTCTTTTTTATTTTATTTTATTCGTTTTAAATTTTGGGAACAGTAGTATTGCCAACTTTTTATTTTGCAAAGTAAGCACATTAAACAAAACACTGCGAAACACTGCGATCTTTGCAGGAAATAAAGGACTTTTGTATTCCAAAAAAGTTCACGATTTCAGAATAAAGGTCAGTACTCTAGTGTTTTTTTTTTGTTTTTTTTTTTTTTTTTTTTTTTTTTTTTTTTTTAGGAGGAGGGGGACATTTGTCCAAACAAGTCTTTGTCTCTTAATTGGCTCGCACAGCAGGAGCATGGTGGAAGTCAGAGAGTTCTTTTCCATCTCTTACCCAGCTAGGACCCTAGAGGGCCATGAGTGAGTGACGCCCCCTTGAGGGACTTGCTGAAATATAGTATTGAGGGTGGGTTTAGAGGCAGTTGGGAGCAAGAACAGGAACTCTGCTTTAGTGATAGCACTGTGATTTTATTTATTCTGGGAGGCTGCAGAGGCTCAGGGACCCTGAGATAACAGCTGTTTTGGAATTTAGAACACATCCTCCCTTGAACACAGTGTGTGATGAGATTTGGGAATACCAGGCTGGCCCTCAGGAGCCTACTGAACTCACATTAGTGTAAACCTCCCAGTCTTATCTGTGTGTCTGCTGTGCTCTCAGGCTAGCTTGGTGGACATTTGTGCACGCCACACCTCTCTGCGTGGGCCAGAGCTGGGGAAAGGCAGGCATTTTAGGAGGGGGGCTTGGAGGACAAAATGGTTTTTCCAATTGGTGACAATTTTCAGGGCATGAGAAATTCAGATGTAGCGAGAGGGTGGGAGCTGGGCACAGTGTCACACACCTATAATCACAATGGCTCAGGAGGCTGAGGCAGGAGGATTGTAAGTTCAAAGCCAGCCTCAGTAACTGCAAGGCACTAAGCAACTCAGTGAGACTTGGTCTCTAAAGTATAAAAAGGGATGTTGCTCAGCAGTTAAGTGCTCCTGGGGAGGGAGAAAAGAGGGTGGAGACAAGGGGAGGGTGTATGGTGGAGTCAGGTTTGGCCATGAGTTGGTCCCAGAACTCAGGTGTATTGACAATGGGAAGTATGTGTGTATGTATTGCAGGTACAGATCATGATTTCTAAGTGTAGAATTTTCTATATGTATATAAATTTCTTTTCTTTTTTTTTTTTAAAGAGAGAGAGAGCATTTTTAATGTTTATTTTTTTTTTAGTTTTCGGCGGACACAACATCTTTGTATGTGGTGCTGAGGATTGAACCCGGGCCACACGCATGCCTGGCAAGCACGCTACTGCTTGAGCCACATCCCCAGCCCCTATGTATATAAATTTCATGCTTACTTGCAATTCAGCAAGGTAGCAGCAATCCAATTGAGTTCCACCTCATACATTCATCAGATAGACTCATATTAACCCAATTTACAAGACACAGAGAGACAAACTAGGTTCCATATGCATCATAACACAAAGGGAGAGTTATCTGGTGTTACTGCTGTTTACCAGTGATGAGTCCTTGCTTCCCCAATGCTGAAGTATAACCAGAAAAGTACGCAGAGGCAAGTGTAGAGTGGAAAGTAGAAGGCTTTATTAAAGGACAGCAGAATTAAAGGACAGAAGTTTTTACTTCTCCCCGGGCAGAATCCATGGAAGGGTGAGGTCTTCCCTTTTTTACAGCTAAGGTCTTCTTTCAGCTTTCCCACACTCATTTCCTTTGTTTCCCTTTATCTTTCAGTGCTAGAATGCAGATGGAAAGGCCAAAAGGAGGGGCCTGGGTGGGCTGAAGGAGTAATCCGACCAGGAAGGGCCTGGGGTGGTTTTTGATTAGCACCTCCCTGTTTACTGGGAGCTACTTCCTGAACAGTTCCTTAGGATGGGTTCTGGGCCTTGGGGACATTAACATTTCAATTTCCCCAAGTGCAGCTCTGTTTCCTGGACTCCATTCTCAATCATGGTCTCCATTTTCTTTACTCAATATTAGACCCTATTCACCTAACTACACTAACTACCTATCTGTAAATCTGGCTTCATTGGTACGATAACTGATCTTGGGCATTTGCAATATTTTAATGAATGAGTTTTTTTTTTTTTTGAGTGTCTTTTGGCACATGATAACCATTGTCCTTTTCTCTTGGCTTTTATTCCTGTATGAGAGGAGGTCATTTTTTGTGTGTGTGCTTATCATATGTTCTAGAGAAGCATTCTTTTGAGGTTCCACATCTTCACCACTCAATATAAATTCATGCCACTTTTCAATTTGCTGGAATGGAGGTTAGCAATCTTTTCCTGTAAAGGGCTAGATAACAAATATTTTAGGCATTGTGGGCCCTGTAGTCTCTGTTCCAAGTACTCATTTCTGCTGTGGTAGATAGCCAGAGAAAATAACAGAAAATAATGGCCATGGCTGTGTTCCCATAAACTTCATAGCCCTGAAATCTGAATTTTGTATTAATGTTTTATGTCATAAAATACTTGATATTTTGGCAATAATTTTAAAATGTAAAAGTACTCTTAGCTGGGAGGTTGCACAAAATAGTGAGTGAGCCAGATTTGGCCCACAGATTGCAGTGTGTATACTGCCCCTGAGCTAGAAGACAGTCCTATCACACATTACTGTGGCAGGCATTTGGCTGGCGGGTTCAGTTGTCTCTGATGCACATGTAGCAGAGTTTCGGTCACCCCCCCCCCCCCCCCCCCCCGTTATTTTGCTGCAGTTGTACTGCGACAGTTGACTGAGATGGCCTCACTTCAGGGGTTGTACTTTCCACAGCATTTACCTATCACAGTCTGAAGGGCTCCTATAGACCATGAAGTGTAGTGGTCCATTAGAAGTTACCACCAAGGTCAGACAGTTAAATAATGGCCCAGGGCATCTAGATTTAGTGGAAAAATTGGGGGCATTTCTACAGTCTGGAATACACAGTAACCTCCCACAGACAACAGTAGCCAATATTTCTTCAGCTGTTACAACAAGTAATAATTCTACCATCATCACTGTGTGCTAGGCTGCCCACTTTTCAGGTCCAGCCAGTATTTGTACCACATCTGGTACTAAAGTACAAATTCTTAGCCATTTATTGACTGGGCTTCCTCCTTTTTTGGTGGTGGCAGGAGGACTTCCTCCTTTGATGCTGTGGGCCTGGGACTGGCTTCCTCCTCAACCTCAAGGAACCCCCAAGCTCATTCACCCTCCTTAATTATTGCAGTGATGCATAAGGTCATTGTAAGTAATAAAATATAAAGGTAAATGCCTGAAATGTGCCATGTGTAGAGTGCCAGTTCAGTGACTGCAGCTACTTCTGTTCACTCTCTAGCTCATGTAACAAAATAAACACTGCTTTGAAAATCAGAAGACTGACTTCTTACACACCATTTGTTTTTTTGCAGCCCCAGGATTCAGAGCAATGAATGGAAGCTGAGGAGGCAGTGAGAACCACTGCAGGTCTGGTGGGGCACAGGAAGGCTGCCTAATGGGCATTGGGGGAAAGTGGCAGTAGTCGCTCTGTAAGAAAGATGTGCCCCAGGACCTTCTGTGAACCATAATGGCAGGGACAGGCTCAATGCTGCCACTCCGGAGCGCAGTGGCGCTTTCTCTTTGTCCTTGAATGTTACTTGCAGCTGGGGCTCTTCTACAAAGCTTTCACGGAAAGGTTGCAGCGGGGCATCTTGCTGTCCGTGGTGGTGTCACAATCTGATTTCTCTCCATCTGGGAGATGATCTCCATCTGCGGGTATTCATGGGAAAGGACTGCAGCGCGTTTGTTGGTAATGGGGTTTTCCAGATTGATTCTGCTTTCAACGCATTCAGAAAGCCTAGGGAGTGCAGACCCTGGCCCTACACCAAGTCTCCCGAGCACAAGGCGCTCTGCCTCTGGGCCAGTCCCGCTTCCTCTCATCCGCCCTGGCACCCCCGGGCCGCTGCCTGCTGACCGTGGCCAGACACGAAAAAAACGGCACCTTTTCTTTAGTTTTGAGACAGGGTTCACTACATCTTCCTCCAGGGAGCAGCGAAAGGCTCTTATGCTCAGTTCTGGAGCGGCGGCTGGAGGGGTCCTCGGGGAACAGTCTTTCTTGGGGAGAATTTCAGGGCCAGAAGGGGAAGAGTTCTGGCCAAGGTCACCGAGCTGGCAGACGCTCCGATAAGTGCACTCAGGCCAGGGGGGAGTCACCGCACACGCCCGTGCCACAGCAACCTCTGGCTCGCGGCCTCAAGCAACTTATTACTCCCTGCCCACCCGCCCCCAAGTGCTTTCAATGGCCGGAACCAGGTGGGAAGGGGTATGCGGGCCGCGCCCCAGAAATCAGACCGCTCCACCCACTGGGTGCCTGAGGCCCCGCCTCCTGGCATTGGCCACGCCCATCGCCCCCGCCCTCAGACTGCGGCCCCGCTACGGAGACCCAAGCCTGGTCCCGCCCCGCCGGCCTTGCCCCTGCCGCGTCGCCCGCAGGCGCCAGCACTTGCGCGTCCCCTTCCCTGGCCGTCCCGGGGCCGCGCAGCGCGTACCGGCTCTGGGCGGGGCCTTGCAGTGGTAGCAGGGCTCCTCCTCCTGCTCCTCCTCGACCTGCCCCTCGGGTCCTCTCGCGCTGTCCTCCTCTGGGGCCCCTACGCCTTGTCCCAGCCATGGTGGCCTGGCGCTCGGCGGTCCTTGTCTCCCTCGCTTTCTTCTTGGCTATCCTGGTCCAGAGAGGTAAGGCAGGCGGGGGACGCGTGTGGACCCCGCCCTGGGGGCCCCGGGGTCGCTCTGTGCTTGAGCGGCCCGGCCCCCGCCTCGCAGGCCTGAGTCTGAGGCACCAGGCTGTGCTGGGCGGAGGTGCGGGGTGCGACCATGCCGGGATCAGTGTAGCTGGAGAGGAAACATGGGACCTCTCTTGGTGCTGAGCTACAGACCAGGAGATTGGCCTCCGCTAAAATCCTGAACAAGCAGGTGTCACCACAGATGACAACAGCTGTCCTCACGAGTTTACCTTAGGGAAAACCTTGGAAAGAGCAGTCATTTTCGAAAAGTGTGTGGGGCCACCTGCAGCAAAAGCACCTGGGGAACTTACTGGGCGGATTCCTATACCTTTGCGGTGGGGCTGGGGTGGGGGTGGAGGTGGAGGGCGTGACGTGTAGGTATAACCAGTTCCCTAGATGCTTTTGGTATCTGCTTCAGGTTTCAAGCTTTGGTCATATTTTGCCAAGAAAGAGGAGAGGGAAATTTCGCTGAATCAAGGGTGCAAGGTTCTTAGACTCTGTACTACTCAAAGTGTGGGCCAGGGCCCAACCGCATTGGCATCACCAGGGAGATTGTTAGAAATGCAGAATCATATGCCCTGTCCCTGACCCACTGAGTCAGATTCGGTGTTTTATTTAGCTTTTTAACTAGGTCCCTGGGTAATTTACAGGCACATTCAAGTTTGAGAAGCATTGTCTGAGAATAAATGCAATCTGTGGTTAAAAATAGGGTCTTAAACATGTACCAGCAGAATCTTCTTACACTTATTTATATCCCATCTCCACATCAGAAAAGTGGTCTAAGGGAAACTCTGCAATTTGAGCACTGAATTGTGCTCTGAGCTTCATGAAAATGAAGGTAAATTCAACTAGTGAAAAACATGAGCTCAGAAAAGAAAAGCTTTCACATGGTATTGAGTTCCACTAAAATTTATGTCACATATCAGGAACTCTGGAAAACAGTGGACAGTACTAGCCAAGGTAGGTTTGCAAAAGATGCGGAAATGTTTTCATGTGGGTCATCTTCCTGCATTTGATACAAGAAGAGCCATTCAACATTCTTCAAAGATGTCAGGCTTGGTTCTAGGAACTGATGATATAGAAGTGAACAAAACTAAGACTGTCTTCCTGAAGCTGGCCTCATGTTGGAGGGAAAAAAACCAACTACACACATCTGTTCTATAGAATATATTGTTAGTGCTATGAAGAAAAATAAAGCAGGTTATAGGGATAAAGTGTTTTAGAATTTTCCCTTTCATTTTCTACTTTGGGAATACAATTTATTCTGTCTAATATGTATTTGTGGAGAAAAGTATACAGTTGTGCCCCTCTTATCCTCGGGAGATACATTTCAAGACTCCCATTGGATGCTTCAAACCATAAATAGTATATACATGGTTCAGAACCTTGTATATACCATGTTTTATACTGTATTCCAGGCAGCATTGCCACGGAGTACCAAGTTAATTTGTCCTTCCATGTCTTATGCCCTGGGGCCTCATTTACATCACTGGTCTTTTTTTTTCTCTTTCTACATTTATTATTGCTGCATAATAGTTGCACATAATGATGGGATTTGATGTTACATATATAATGCACACAATATAACAATATAATTTGACCAATTTTACTCCCCAGCATTTACCCCTTCCCTCCACTCCTCCCACCCCTTGGTCCATTTCTTCCACTGATTTCCCTTTGATTTTCATGAGATCCACCCCACTTTTGTTTTCTTTTTTCCTCTCTAGCTTCCACAAATGAGAGAAAACATATGAGCTTTAACCTTCTGTGTTTGATTATTTCACTTAACATGATGGTCTCTAGTTCCATGCATTTTCCTGCAAATGCCATACTTTCGTTTTTCTTCATGGCCGAATAAAACTCCATTGTGTGTGTGTGTATATATATATATATATATATCACATTTTCTTTATCCTTCTATCCATTGAAGATACCTAGGCTGGTTCCATAGTTTGGCTGCTGTGAATTGTGCTGCTATAAACATGGGTATGCATGTATCACTGTAGTGTGATTACTTTAATTCTTCAGGGTAAATACTTAGGATTGCTAAAGGTGGGTCATATGGTGGTTGCATGCTTAGTTTTTTGAGAGTCTCCATACTGTTTTCCATAGTGGTTGTACTAGTTTACAGTTTCACCAACAGTTTTTCTCCACATCCTTTCTAACATTTATTATTACTTGTATTGTTTTTTTTTTTTTTTTTACTTTACTAATAGGATATCTTTATTGCTGTTTTCATCTTTCTGGACTACTTTTCTGGAAATTCATTTATTAAGTTATCAAAATTTAAAGGAATTTCATTTTCTCTTTTAGTACAAAAGAGCATCTTTTTACTATTATCTTAATTGTATATATTTATGGTGTTCAGTGTGATGATTTAACACTAAGATTTAAAGTTAGTAATAACCAGGTCAGGCTAGTTAGCATCTCCTTAAATTCCTTTGTTTTTGATTAAGACAGTAACTGCATTTGCGGTGGGTGGTTCTGACACACAGCACTATGTGTTCTGATCAAGTCGGGGTCATTAACGCTTCCCTCTCCTTAATTCCTGCTTTGGGGCTTGGAGCTCCTCTTCTGTTATTCCTAAGATAATCAAGGTATGGAGACTAGTCACCTGGTGTCCTGCAGAACCCAGAATCTGGTACCCTGTCCCATGTTTTAGTTCTGATCGTCTGCCGCCTCCTCTTTCCTTCCCTAGCCTCTTGGAATTGCTGTCCTACATTCTGATATACTCTTTTCACCTTGTACCTATGAGAACACAGCAGAACTTGTCCTTCCATGTCTGACATTTCAGGCACATTCAAGTGTGGAGGGCCTACCTTGCACCTGTGCCTCTGACATAATGTCTTCAGCACCGTCCAATTTCCTGCAAATGATGGAATGTCATTTTTTATTGCTGGATAATATTCCACTGTGCATACATACCATTTTCTTTGCCATCCTTTCATTGGTGGGCATCTGGGTTAATCCCAGTTCTTGGCTATTGTGAATTGTGCAGCAATAAGCATGGGAATGTGGGTATCTCTTTGACAGGCTTTGTTTCCTTTGGATATACCCCCAAAGTGAGATTTCTGACTCATCCATAGGTCTATTTTTAGTGGTTTGAGGAGCCTTCACGCCCAGCTGCGCTAATTCACATTCCCGCCAATGGGGCAGGAGCATTCTCTGTTTCTGCCTCCTTGCCAGCGATTGGTACGCTCTCCTTGTGGTTTTGGTCTGCACTTTCCCGATGATACTGAGGTTGAGCATTTTCTCATGAATTTGAGCAACTTCGCTTTCTGTTGATAGGATTGCAGGCAACCTCTCCTCTCACAGATGCAAGATCACAAGGAACTGTTGGTGATTTTTAATTTTGAAAGATATTTTTGCTGATGCAACTGTTACCAAAACTGCTAAGAGCCTTTCATAGGTTGTGACCACATTGGGATGAATTTCTGATAAATTACTTCAAGATATAAGGTTGAGTACAGCTAGAGCCGAGAGTTCTTGCAAAATGATTTTTCTAAAATTATGTAACTCTCTGTACAATTGGGTTTGTGTTGCTTGGCTCTGATTTAAAATTCAAAAAAAATTTTTTTTTTGAGAGAGAGAGAGAGAGAGAGAGAGAGAGAGAGAGAGAGAGAGAGAGAATTTTAATATTTATTTTTCAGTTTTCAGTGGACACAACATCTTTATTTGTATGTGGTGCTGAGGATTGAACCCGGGCCGCACGCATGCCAGGCGAGCTCGCTACCGCTTGAGCCACACCAGCCCTAAAATTCAGATTCTTACAGTGGTGTATTAATGCTTCCCCTGAGCTTTGCTGTTACCTGGGCAAGAGACACAAGGAACCAGGTGGCATCACGACTTGAATACCATTCCTGAAGTTGGGGTAGGCCTTACATGTCTGTGTCTTAAGTGAACAGGAAGAGCTACCGCTGGCTGTCCCTCCTCTTTACTGGCCAGTCACCTCCCCAGGGCCACACACTGCAGCCACCACCTTGCTAGTGCTGTCCCCAGCAGCAGCCTGGGCCTAGGACTTGGCCCCACCAACCCTGCAGCAGCCAGACGGTGCCAGGCATGGGTGGGCAGCCAGGGCACTGCGCCACACACCGCTGCTGCCCCCACTGTGTGAAGGGCCTACCTTGCACCTGTGCCTCTGACCATGTGTCCCTGCTGACACGCACGTCCCCTTTTACCACCAGGATCCTCACAAAGCAGGGTGCAAAGACACACTGGTTAGGAATGCCCCGGGGGCCAGCAGAGCCTCTGCTCCTCACTTCCTGCTCCCTCTGAGGGGAGTCCTTTGGGACTCGGGCCTCCAGCCTCGTGGCCAGCCTCCCCCACCAGGGGCTGTGTGTTGAAACCCATGACGTCCTTCACCAGGGGTCCTGCAGACATGCCCATCACCTGAGCCTGCCCGATCGGCCACCTGACTCAGGGCATGGAGGGGCCTCTAGCACAGACCTCCTCACCTGTGCCAAACCCAAGGTCTGCCCTGCAGGACCAGATCTCGCCTGTGTCCCCTGACCTCCAGCCCACCCCGCCCACTCTCAAAAATCATCTTTACTCCTCTGATGGGTCCCTGATCCAAGGCCTCCTCTCCTCCTCACAGTCATGGTCAGCACTCAGCGTGGTCGGCACTACTTGTATTCTTGATGACTGCTATTCTGACTGGTGTGAGATGAAATATCAGTGTAGTTGATTTTCATTTTCCTAATTGCTAATGATGTTGGACATTTTCTATATATTTGTTGGCCATTTGTATTTCTTCTTTTGAGAAGTATCTGCTTAATTCATTAGTCCCTTTATTAATTGCATTATTTGATTTTCTAGTGTTAAGTTTTTTTTTTAATTTTTAGTTGTAGTTGGACACAATGCCTTTATTTTTATTTATTTATCTTTGTGTGGTGCTGAGGATTGGACCTAGGGCCTCACACGTGCTAGGTGAGCACTCTACTGCTGCTACAGCCC